AACATTTCCTGACTCCTATGAGCTATGCTCAATTTGGCGTTGGCATTACAAATTTAAATTAATATCCTAACTAGTGATTTTGTCACAAGTTATCGCGATATCTCTTTTCAAAACTTCAAGACAAACATACGTGTTGCATTAACAGTTTCAGAATTGACATTTTTGACTTGCTAGATTTGCCTGATGTCTTAGAAAGATTACGTGAAGAAATCACCGATTAAAATTTGAAGACTTCGCTGACCTGGGGCAAATTATTTCGTCCAGGAGATTTGATCCGCACAAGTTTGGATTCACCTATAACACAAGTTTGAAGACTCAATTATACCATTAATCAGGGGCAGTTACGTCGAGCTCCTGCGAATCTCTCCAAGAGTTTGAAAACAGTGGGGCATTTGGACGCCATGTTTTCTGTAAAATCCTCTCAAGACGACCTTTTTATCATGAACCATGTGACTTGGGGCATTTGAGAGTCGAAGGTAGTTGCGACGATTCTGTAATGAATATATTCAACACAAGAAAACTCCAGTTGGTGACCTGAGAATTCTCAGCGAGCGGATTAGCTTCACCTCTCCAGCGAAGCGGATGATTATTTCACCCTCATGAAGCCTCGACTCCGGCATATTCAACAGCTTTGTTAACCCAGGAAATTCTCCAGGCAACGTTTGATCTGTGAAGATTTGGTTTGAGTGCCCTCCACCTGGGATGCTTTTTCATCTCTGTTTTGGTTATCATACGCATAGCATATAGATAGATAGCATGGCATATGCATTTTGTATCTTTGTGTTTGTTTGTTCCGTCACTTTGGTCGTGGTTATCCCCGAATGACTGGGTTTTGTCTTATCCCTCCAAGTAGAGTTGTCAGCCCTTAGGCAGAAAGAGTGCAATATTTCCATTTCCCCACGAAGTTCGATCCTCGTGGAAGACAGTTGTTTTAGTTAAATATCATTTGAGCTCATATCTCAGTGGTCGAGTCTTGCTTGACAATTTCTCTTCAGTTATTTCCTGAATTGAACTTCGGTCCTTGACAATCACATCGTGGACATCTCCAGCTTTTGAATATGGATTAAGCGTGCATTTCTTTTGCACTTGGCTCCCCAAGAAGTTCTTTATGAAGATAACTATTGAAGATGAATATTTTTCTCCAGTGACATTATCAGATTTCCTCCACAACTTACATCCAGATTGTAAGCACTCCTCTTTATTTGAGCAACCCATTTTGATCAGGATTCCCTTCAAAACGACAAATGGCAGTCTCTTCAAGATAACCTGTCCATTCCCAGTGGATTTATCAGGATTATCAATCCATCAAAAAGGCATTCCTCCAGAAATCTACCAGAGAAATGCGTTGAAGACATTACACATATTTCTCTTTAGTTGAGAATTTACACTACAAGGATACATATTTTATAGCTATAACAAAGTTACTCCTCAAGAATGTATTCCCCAGTGAGTTTACTACATAAGTCTGACTCCACCAGGTGGCATCTCTTCCGAGAAGTTTGATGAAGTTTATTATAATGGGTCTCTCTTTATTTGAGAAGACATATTCTACAAATCAACCGGCTTACATCTCTCCCGGAGATCCCTGTTGAAACTTTATAATCTCTAACACATTTTGTTTTTTGGGCTATCATACATTTGATAGTAGGTAATATACCATTTCTTTTTAGTCAGATACCTTTTCTTAGGCTGCCGTATGTTTGGTGGTAGGTCATCTTTCCTTTGGTGTTCACCTTTTCTTAGGCTATCATATGTTTGATAGTAGGTAACACATCTTATTATAGTCAGACGCCTCGGCTTAGGCTACCATATGTTTGGTAGTAGGTGATCTCAACATCTTTTGGGTTATACCTCTGCTTAGGCTATCATACATTTGATAGTAGGTAATACACCTTTCTTTTGGTCAGACGCCTTTTCTTAGGCTGCCATATGTTTGGTAGTAGGTGATCTTTCCTTTTGTTTATTACATTTTCTTAGGCTGCCACATGTTTGGTAGTAGGTGACCTCTTCTTTTGGTTATTACCTCTTCTTAGGCTATCATATGTTTGATAGTAGGTAATATATCGTCTATTGGTCAAAAACCTCGGCTTAGGCTGCCACAGGTTTGGTAGTAGGTGACCTCTTCTTTTGGTTATTACCTCTTCTTAGGCTATCATATGTTTGATAGTAGGTAATATATCGTATTTTGGTCAAAAACCTTGGCTTAGGCTATCATATGTTTGACAGTCGGTAACAGCGTTTCTTGTTTCAACCGGATATCTTTGTTTAGGATGCCACACGTTAGTAGTGGGCTACCCTTCACTTTCAAGATCTCGTTTCACTATTCAAGCTACTGTACTCCTGGTGGTACTATCATATCTTATCTTCATTTTAGAGAATCCACAATGCTGATTGTTATCTTTCCTTGAGTCTCGCGTCATTGAGTCTGTTCTTCAGGTGCCGTGTCCAGTTATTCCCATGTGGCGTTACTTCCTCACAGGACCCCCGTGTCTTGCATTTTCATATCATTGCATATCATTTGCATTCGGTGGCTTCTTATGGCCAAAAATTCGTGCAATGTTTGTATTTAAGTCCCTCCTATCTCTTCGAGACGGAGATGTCAATCTCCATACCTCCGGATAGAAGAAACTTAAATAGGGGCATCTGTCGCACCCTAAATTTTGACCATAAGATCCCGTTTCCTTGTGATTATTTTCTTTTTTATTATTTATTTAATTTTATAAGCATGATTAGTATGGCTAACCAACATGTGCAGATGCAGTAATTTCAAATAGAAATAGTACTCATTCCCGCATTTAAACGGTCTCAGGACGTGATTCAGTGAATTGGGTTCGGACCGAAATGACAAATTATCCAAGAGTATAAATTGGTCCAAAATAATTTCAAGCATTGATCTAAGCTCATGGTAGATTGGTTTCAAACTATGTTCATTGAGATGAGAAGAGTTGCCCATATTCAAGTACTACATCAACGTCCAAATTGGGATTTAAAGGTTTCATTCAAGAAGATTCTAATTTCAAATTCGTCATATTCAAACCCATGATTAAATTCATGCTACTAAAGTTGTCGCATGTTTCAAAATTATCACGGCTGCGCGAAGTAGAGTTTCTACAAATTACCACATCAAAATTGAAACTTTGGTGGATGTAACCTTTTGTTTTCATGAAGATAAGTTTTCCTTAGCATGAAGAAAGACTCTTTAATTACTAGTTGGACTCTTTGAGGATCAGTTAGGCAAAATGGCTACAAGCTACGCATGTTGGTGCAATTGTTACCAACTTTTCAAATCTCAACCTCATTTAAGTACACATAGTTTTTCTACAAATTACCACAAGCTGTCTACATGAGATAATCCGGTTGCTTACATGAACTAATCAAGTTGGTTACATGAGTTTACACAAGTTCTAAGAAATCATTAAATACATAACAGTCAAGTTCTGCTATGGCACTAGGAGTGTCAAATAGGATGTCCCCGCCGGTAAAACGCGTAACGGCCGACAACGTGACTTTTGTGCGACTTCATGGAACCAGACCTGCATAATAAAGGGAAGCTACAACGATGTTAGAAGGCAACCTAACTAGACCCTCAAATTTGACGGAGTTTGGTTTTAACTCTTTCCTCTATAAGGCTCGAAATCTTCTGTGAGGCACTTCCATAGTCTTTGCTCCGAGCAACTAAGCGGAACCGACGGTAACTCCTCATTATCCACATCCAGCTGCTGCAGACAATTGTTAAAGCAAGATCAGTACTGACACCAATAACCATTCATTCTCAAGACATATTCCAGCAAGAAGTAATAGCTTGCTTACCGATAAAAAGGAGATGTCGTACGGAAACAAATGCATTCTCAAGCACAACATTTCTTGTGACCATTTTTCCTGCGCAAGGATAACATCAGAGTAAATAAGATTGTATCAACACACAGAAACACATCTCGGTTGCCAGTCCCACCTCCGTGTGAGTGTTCAAGATTGATCCCTTTGTTCACAACTGGGCTTGTGAAAGTGCGCAATCCTTGCCGCTGAAATCAAATAGGAACTGAGGAAGAAATGACCTGCTTAACTTGGGTCGAACATTTGTTCAAACGAGTACTGATTTCCAACCCAACTTGACAACATGCTTTTGAAAGTGATCATCACGTGTATGCCATCGACCTGCCAGAGTCATAATCAACCTTATGTTAATAGATGCCAGACTTATTAAATGTTACAGAAAATAGAGCCAATGATATACTTCATGACAGTTCTCTTGAATCACAACAACACCTACAAGTTCTTTGGCAACGAATCCTAAGTCTCTAAGCCTGTCCCATTTTCGCAGCAGTAATGTGATAGTGATCGAACATACCAAAGCATATACCTGTCTTGAACCAAACCTGCTGAAAATACAATTATGCACAATGACATGTAAGCCCAGAAGATGAACACGAGCAAGCAGAGGAATTACGAACCGAATTACCTTTGAACCCTACAGTTCCAGGCCTTACCAGAAGTTGTATTCTCATTGATTCCTCGCAGTTTTCACCGTATTCACCTCTACACCGTTTTTGCACCATAACTTCTCCAAGCATCCCACAACTGACCATACATCACCAACCAAAACTAGACTACACACAAAGAAAAGACAGTTAGAGAGGGAGCATTTCAATATACAAGTTCATGAGTCCAGAGGATTTACTTACGACAATACTCATGATGAATTTGAAGAAGAAACTCAGGCACAAAGAACACATGATAAATTCTGTCCTATTTGCTGAACTAATCTTGGAGCAGAGTGTTTCTTACCAATCCCGGCATACCGCAAATCCATGAAAATCCAATGGGCTAAGGAGAACAGGGTTTTCCCTCACTGAACCCAAAGGCGGCCCTGCGTCTGCGTGCGACAAACAACCAACAAGAACAAATAGAAACCTTTTTGTATCTCATTCATACTCTTACTTCTTCTTCTTCATTGAACCAATCAACGACCAATTTAAATTCAAATTCAATTGGTACAAAAAATGGCTTCAAAGCTAACAACATGCTTTGTGTGCTGGAACCTCAACACCGGCTTCAACTGTAATAACCACCTTCATAACACTCGTGTATCGCGTTCTCCGTTTCCGCTCTTTTGCAAAATGCCACACCGTATCCTCAGTCCGCAGCAGAGAAGACATTATCACAAGAGAACTACATCGCAGCCTTCTATTGACGGGGCTCTCAAGCCGAATCAACGTTTAAACTCTGATCTTAACAACAAGCTTTCTTTTAATTCTCTGCACAATTTGAATGGTCCAGTTCTGCTGCATGATAATAATTCTACACCATCGGCCTTGAATGTAAATGGTGCCGAGCAGACTGAACAACTTTTTGGTGGTCAACTTGAGGATTTGTTAACCATGATAAAAAGTGCAGAGACAAACATCCTTCTTATAAATCAGGCTAGAGTCCGTGCACTTGAAGATCTTCAAAAGTTTCTTGCAGAAAAGAAAGCGTTACAAGGGGATATCAGTAGATGATGCAAAGTTTTTGAGAGAAAAAGGCATGGAGTTCAGCTGTAAAGTTTCCTTGCAGATTCACAAACGCAGAGTTACACCAGAGGGTATTGCAAGAAGAAGTATAAGCTTATCTCGCTGTTAACAAGTCGACCTGAACATTACAGAGCCATTAGCCTCCTCCCCATTCGCAAGCCATTTGTTCTCCACAAGGAAATCCGAGCCACCATTAACCTGAGATCAAGAAGAAGAGAAATTTGATGAGTTTTCAACGGAAAAAAACGCAAAGTTCAACAGCAAAGTAATGGCATCAATATTATTCCAAGACAAATTGAGACAAAATCAGTTTCTTTCCAAACACGTACAAACATGTCTCAAACCGCATTTATTCTTTCCAAAACCATCTTCCATGAAATCAGAGCATTCAATCCAAATCAATGTTTTTGAGCCTATAAAAGGATTCGAAATCGAGCTGAAAAAGGGGACACAGCAACTTAAACCTCAAATTCCACGACCCCATAATCAAAACCCCCAAAATTGGTAAAGAAAAGAACTTATCTTTTGGTTCCTCCACCAACCACAAATTCACAAAGAAACCTAAAATCTCCAAATCAAACCCTAACTTCGAAAATCGTGGAATTGAGAAACTCACCTTTTTCTTTGAAGTTTCGTTGCGACTCGTCCGACGACTACCCTCAAACGCACGTCTCGACCGTAACCGCCATCTTCAAGACGCCGTGAAGCCACCCGCTGCGAACCACTGACGCATCTCTGTTCTTGGGTAAACATTCTTAATCCATCGGTTGTTTGATCTGATTAATTGCTCTTTTGTTGTTTTATTTGTTCACAGGTTCAAGCATCATTGAAGAAGATGACGAAAATGGAGGAGTGGAAGTTGCAGAAGGCAAGAGAGAGTGAGAGGTAGAGAAGAATGGCAGAAATCGAGAGTGAGAAGAGAGAAGCTGAGACAAAAATCGGAGAGGGAGAGACAACGAGGCAACGACGGAGAGAAGGGGATCGGGGGATTGAGGGTTTTCGTTCTTTTTCAATTTCGTTTTGATTTTGTAATCTTATGTGTGCTCCTCACGGTTATTAATGTACACTTCACGCACACACCATATGATCCCCCAACGGATCTAGATCAAACGCCCCACATGCGCAGACCACTATAAGCCTGCATCCTGCATCACATAACCAGTGCCCGTTAATCTTTTTTTAAAAAACCTTAATCCAGTTTTATAACAATAACTATTAACCTTTTTAATTAACTTTCAAACTAATTTTTTCTAATTAAACTCTTTTATCAACTTAGCACATTTTATTATAATAATTTAAATCAACCTTTTCTTTATAATTTAAACTGTTTTTATCAATTAATCCTATTTAACCACCCTTTTACTAAATAATTATTAATCCTTTAAACTAATCTGATTAATTAAACTCTAACCTATTAAAAAGAATTTAAACTAATACCTTTTAAAATTAATTAGCCCTCTTCTTTAATCACCCTTTTATTTAAATTAAACTAAACAAACCATTTTTCTAAATGAATAATAATAAGCTTTTTTAAAAATAATCCTTATTGTTTATTAATATATAAATTCACTATACTTAACCTTTTTACGATAAGTAGAAATCCATTATACTTAACCTTTTCCTCAATTCATACTAATCGAAATCTTTTTATCTAAGTATCGTTAAATATAAAAATAAATAGAACTTTTACTAAAATGAATCCAATTTAACTTTTATTAAAATTAATATAGTTAATATAACTTTTTCCTCAAAAACTAATAATGAATCAAATAACCTTTTCTCAAATTAATTTATCATCTCGAGTTTTAAAATTAATAAAATCAATTCATATAAAATTAAATAACATTTGCCTAAAATCAATTCACATCGTAAAACTCAATTAATCGTGCACGCTTACGCCTTCGCTCCGCACATTTACATTATTCACAATTCTCACTTACACCTTAGCGTTTTCATGCGTATGTGTATGCTTTACTTATTTGCCCCTTTATTATTTCCGCAATTTACTTTACAGCAATTTACATTACCGCATTTATTCTCGCATCGCATTCCGTCCAAAGGAAAAACCTACACATAATTCAACGCTTATGTGTAGTGCACATCATTTGCATCACACTCCCACTTGATCCTTGATCCCATTCAAGTTGATCCCTTAAGTTTAGATCCTACCCCATATGAGGACCTTTGTCTTTATTTTACAACATAGAAACAAAACAACTCAATACAACACTATTCAAACATTAGAGAAAAATGTTAATCATCTTAAGCGAGATAGAATATCCACCCCACATCAATACAATCAATATGTAGGGACTTTGCCTTAAGAGAGATAGAGGCGTACTCGTCGATCAATATCCGAGTACTTGAGCCCTTCTCTTAAGACGATGCAAAGATTATTTTCCTACAATTTGTGGCGGTTAAATCTCCCTTAAAATGACAACTCATCTTTTCTCCTAAACGCAATCAACCAACTACCCTAAACCCGTAGGAACTTTGACCACAGTCAAAGAACTCCTCAAACCCTTTAGGGGAACTACAAATACTCTGATTCCACTCCCGTAAGGATATGTAGGCATAAGATGCGATATCTTATCGAGTATACTTAGAAATAAACCACTAGGGTCTTTTAACCATTAAGCAGATAACACATAGCAATAAAACAAACATAAAACAAGAGGTTCCTGTAGAGTACTACAGAAACTTAGGATGCTAGTACCTTCCCTGAGTTTAACCAACCCCCGAACCTAAAACTCTCTAGCTTGCATTTGCATTACATTGTGGGAATTTCGATCTTTATCCCTTCCTTTGGACAAATCAAAGTTCGGTTGTAAAATGAATTAAAGATTCAAACTAATCAATAGTTTGATATCCGATTTTCACCGCGACAAGACTATGTCAAAAGTTTGCTCATTGATAGATGAATATCTAAGATCTAAGATTTGAAAAAAAAAGGTTTTGTCAAGAGCCACAAATAAGAAATCAAAGACAACATCAATATTGAATCAAAGCTAGTTCACAATACATATATTATATGAAATACATAAGGTATCAAAATATTGCATCCAAAAGTAACAAGAGATCGAAGCTCTTACCTTCTCCCTCTTAGGGTTTGTGTTTCTCTTTCTAAAATATGCTTGAAAATAAAGAGAGATAAAGTTTTGATCTGAAAAATATCATATAAGTTTCTAAAAAGAAAGAAAAATACTTAAATAGTATTTACAAAATCTGTCATGTTCGCCTAGCGAATACCTTCTTTGCCTAGTGAAGACCACTTTTGGGCACTTGAAGTGTCTCAGGAACAATTAAACCGCCCTTGGAAAATATATGAGTTTGTCGTGCAAGCACTTCTTTGCACACTGAACAGCTTCACGCCATCAAACTTTGGGTCCTTTTCCTACTGCTTCTAATATGGGTTAGTTCGCCGGGGCTTCGCCAGGAGCTTACACATCGAGTATTCGCTTTCACCTCGTTGGTGTTCGCAAGCGAACATGCTGATCCTTCTTCATTTCTTTGGCTTCCTTGTCTAATCCTTTGTGTCTTAATCATGATGTTTTATGCCTATATTCTATACAATAACACACACATCAAAGAGTCCAAAGGTATTTGCAATATAAGTGAAGAATCACACGAGAATAAGAAATAAATTCATTAAAAAATGAGAATTGAGTTGAAAAATGCCAAGAAAGATGGTTTAATTTAAGTCAAAATTTGCACTTAACAACATCATGCCCTCTCGGAGTATTCGGCAACCCAGTCACAAAATCCATAAAAAAGTTGTCCCATTTCCACTCTGGAATGTCCAACTATTGCATCAACCCTGCAGGTTTATGATGTTCAACTTTCGACTTCTCACAAGCCAAACAAGCATACATAAACTAAGCCATATCTCGCTTCAATCTAGGCCACCAAAATATCTTCTTCAAATCTTGATACATCTTTGTAGCTCCTGGATGAATACTCAAGCTACTCTTATGACTTTCCTCTAGAATCATTCTTTTCAACTCAAAATCATTCGGAATACAGATCATGTCACGAAACCTTAATACACCTTGCTCATCCACTTTAAAGTCGCCATCTTCAGTCTGATTACTCCAAACCATCAAGTCCACAACTTCACATCTAACTTTTAACTCTCTTTGATATTATTATAAAAATCATTGTTGATCTTCAACATTCCCAACATAACACTCTACGGTTTCAAATCACAAACCAAACTTAAGTCTCTGAACTGCTCAATCAATCCCAACTCTCTAACCATCATAGCGGACATATGCAAGTAATTTTGACTCAAGGCATTAGACTCGACATTAGCTTTACTAGGATGATAGTTCAAGCCAAAGTCATAATCTTTCAAAAATTCGAACCATCTTTTCTGCCTTATATTCAACTCCTTTTTATCAAACAGATACTTCAAGCTCTTATGATCACTATATACATCAAATATGGAACCATAAAGATAATGCCTCCAAATATTTAACACAAAAACCATTGCAGCCAATTCTAAATCACGAGTAGTATAATTTCTCTCATGAACCCTCAGTTGTCACGAAGCATAAGCTACAACCTTTACATCTTGCATCAGCATACTACCTAAACCCATCAAAGAAGCATCATAATACACTATAAACGGTTCATCCGGTTCAGGAAGAATCAAAACGGGAGTTGTAGTCAACCTTTCCTTCAGCTCAATAAAAATCTTCTCACAGTGGACATCCCACACAAAAGTCTTACCTTTTCAAGTCAACGAAAGTGCTAACTTATAAAAGCCTTTAATAAACATATGATAATAACCAGCCAAGCCCAAAAAGCTTCTAATCTTTGTAACAAACTTCGGAGCCTCCCATTGTAGAACTGCATCTACTTTGGATGGATCCACAATAATACCATCACCTGAAATAACATGACCAAGAAAGCTCACCTCTTTCAACCAAAATTCATAATTCTACAATTTAGCATAAAACTTCTTCTCTTTCAATACAATATGTAAA